TTCTACTGAGGTAAATGCAAAATACAGACAATTTGCCCAACCCATGGACGTCGCATACCAGAAAGCACTCCAACAACTTGCTTTACGTGCTGTCCCTAAGGTTCATTTTTGTAATTAACTAATTAAAAGATTTATACGCAATTTGCAAATGTTGAAATTGGAAATGTATTTTAGGTTTGTCGAATTTCAACACATCTTTTCATGTTTCTTAAGTATTGTAAACTGATATCCGGCGAGACAGGAATGAAAGTGAATAGTAAAGGTTGGGGGCGAGCTTTACGAGATACCATCTCAAACTGGTAAATTTTAAAGCTCATTTCGTTGATTTGTAACAATTAAACATTGCAGTTCTTTTTTTCTGTTTAAATTTGGAAGAATAGATCAATTTCGTTAAGTGTGCTGTGACAAGCAAATGAATTCGGGAAAAGGCAAATAACTGTGGTCTCAGGTTTAAATGTTTGGATAACTTGTCGTATGTTAAATGCTTACTCTTTTCTGACTATCTTTATTCTAACTTAGGTATCTCAGTCAAGATCCGGAGCGGCTAGTAATGCAAGTTACAAAGTACTGTAGTCTTGAAGGATACACTCATCGAGATGTATTCCGGCTTAGCCATATTCATCCGGAATGGACAATGCCCCGTGATCATCAGTACTGGAAATATCATAAGGAATACGATGCTATATTTAAATATATTGCGAAAGGTATGAAACTACCTGACTCTGGAGTTTTTCCACTTAGTCTTGCTATTTTATGTGACAGTAGCATTTACGCGCATATTACTTAAGACAGTATGAACATGCGCAAAGGTGAAGAGATGTTAGCTAAATCGAAGGTGAAACAATGTAAATCAGATGATAAGATAGTGACAGTTAGAAGTGAACAACGAACCAACGAAATGGAAGAGGAAACGAAGATTGTGGGAAAGCGGAGGCTGATAAAAGTAGATGAGGCGGCTTTGGTTGAAAATGAAAAAATGACGAGTAAAGAAGCGTCTATTGGAGAAACATTGGAGGTTTTGCAATTCCTGAAGGATTTTGAACGGTTACAAGAGCTAACATTGGATGATGCTGATGAAGCAGTTCAACTGATCAATAAACATGGTAAGGCTTTTAGCGCCCTCTTGGTATGCATAAAATCAAGTTCTAACAGGTGACTTTCACTTTTTTAATTTTTTTTAATTTTCAATGAAATATTCGTTTAAAGGATTGATTTGTAAGAATTACAACTAATTCAGATCATGCGTTTACTATTACTTCGATAAGTACTGAATATATAAATATGCCGATATGAATTTTGAATTTCTAAATATTTCGACCTGGATAAGTGTTCCACTAATTCACAGTTGATAACTCTGTTCTATAATTCCCAAAGTATTATTTCAGATTTTGTATATGAACATATCCCAAACGATCTACTTAGTAGTAAAAAAATATGGGAAGCTCTACTGATAAGAATGCCACTAACAGTCATGATGAAAAATTTAGGTGCAATGACAGCTGGTGACCTTTTGGGGTCAAAAAAACAGCATCGGTATGTTTGTACAAATGAAGTACTTAGTTAATAATGCATTGTAATAGTTTAGGGGATTGATTTATCTCTTCTAATAAATCAAAACAATATTATTCATATTTAACAGTGTATACAATCAAATGGTTGTGGACAAACTAATGGATGAGAAAGAGTTGAAGGAAGCAGAAATTCATCCAATTAGTATTCTTCTAACATATGCGACATATTCCATAGGAGGACATGAATGGGAAGGAAAGATGAAATGGGAACCAAATGAAGATATTGTAAATGCTCTTGAGAAAGCTTTTTATGCATCTTTTCAATACCTTACACCTACAAATAAACGATATTGTTTATCGTTCAATGTGTCAGGTAATTTGAACTTAATTTAGTTTTATTCTTATTCTTTTTTTTTTTGTCTTATACTATATTATATTCGCTTATCAATTGTCGTCTTTATTAGTTGTTGGAAAGAATTCTGAATTTTCTGTATCATTAAGCAGTAGTCAAACTTTAATTATTTGTTAATTATTAACTTTAATTATTTATCTGTGAAGTATTTCTTCAGATATTTTAGGTAGTATGAATTCTCTAGTATCTAAGACCATGTTGTCATGTAGCCAGGCGGCTTCAGCCTATGCAATGACTTTTGTCCGGACTGAATCAAGTGTATGTTACATTTTTTTCTATTTTCTGTCCTAACTGGCTGAAATTTGGCTCTACTTTCTTGGCTCTTTATTTTATGAAATAAGTTCAGGCGTCTTAGCAGCATGAATCCTAAGTGATTTTTGGAAAGTGGTAACTCCTGTAAAGTGAACTGTAATCTAAGAAATATTATCCCATAATGAAGGCAGGACATTTTTGTTTTTTAAGGTGACAACGACAGCATTCTCGGATCGTTTGACACCTTTTAAATTCGATTGTAAGATGAATTTGGACGAAGTTGTTGAATTAATGAAACGGATCCCTGTGGGTGTGATAGATTGTGCTTTACCGATGATTTGGGCCAAACAAGAAAGACTGCCATTCGATGTTTTCATCATTTATACAAGCGACGAGACTTGTTATGATTATGTAAGTTTTTAATCATTCATTTTAAACTTAACTTCTGATATTATCTTTGCATTAGCAATGAGAATTAAGTATTCCAATATGGTTTCATCCAATGACTACATTTACTTCTCGATATTTATGCATCAAGGAGTGAAAAGAAAGTGTCACATCAAGTAAGGCAGATTAATTGTAATCATTTCGGAGAAATTAATTTTCTTAGGCTCAATAAGTACGTGTCACATTGATGTCAGGCAAAATATTTTTCCATCGTTTACAAGGTAAACAAAGAGTATGCTTGAAGGCTAAACGATCTAAATTCTCTCAAGTAAAAGTGTTTGATAGGATTCTGAAGAACTACGTCATTTTACGAGATATTGCGGATGATTACGTTTTTAGAAATTGTGATCGGGTTATCAAAGAATATTTGGTGCAGTTAAGAGTTACAGAGCTGCCTTTGATAAATGGTGATTTGCATATGCGGGAATGACTTAATTATGTGAATCACTTGTATTAATTATCGGACAGCTCCATTAAGTAATAAAAGCTAGTAAGAATCTGAGTATTTGGTGTTCAATGAAGGAACGGATTTGCTATTTTGAAATTAGACTCGGATCAGTCTTTTGTTGATTAAAATTTCGAAATTTGTAAAATATTCTACATCAGCCATTTCTATGGTACGTATTTGAATCGAAAATATCAGATTATCCTTTTTAGTTCATTCTTTTTAGTCGTGTTCTTTTTAACTTATAGATTAGCTGATTTTTCTTCAGGAACAGCCGTTCGTAGCATTGCAGGAGTATCGCACCGCGATGAATATACCCGACGCAAAATTAATCGTAATGAGTATGATTGAAACGGAGTTAAACAAAACCGATTCAGTTGATCCAAATATATTGAATATATGTGGATTGGAGTCCTCTGTACCTGATCTTATCAGGGAATTTGTTTCGGGTACTCTTTCTTCCTGAATTGTTCAGGTACATGTCAAGTGTTATTAATTTCTCACACTCTCATTATATACTCTTATTTCACGTATTTCTCATTATGAAAATATGTTATACGGTTTATTTCCGTATGTAAATCTTACCTATGTTTTCATTATACATATTTCACGTGTTCCATCACTAGCGCTTCATATTTCCATATGGTATATTAAAATTTCGTTGCTCCGGTCTTTAAGCCAGTATTATGATAACAAATATTAAAACACCGCAACAAAACGGATTATGTACATATCATTGTAATTAACAATAATTAACAGTTTGCCCAATCCCTTTTGTAAATTGGCAAAAATCAACAGTTTTTTTTAACAATTAATCGTAACATTTTGTGTATTTTTTTCCTGTCCATTTAATGTCTAAGGACCGAGGAAAGTCCTTTTCGTGAGAAAAAAAAAAAAAAGAAAGAATTTCGATATACCCTGAAACTCCTATAAAATCATGAACATAATGACAAAAGAGAAATGAATTCCTATCGATGAGAGGGATAGTAAGCAATTTCTTCCCGAAACTGGCGATACCATTAGAATTGTAAAATAAGATAGGGGAAAGATGGGCTGGTTAAGCATTAAGAATTATTTTGAACTCATTAAACTTCAAGAATTATCTTGAACTATCCACTTTCTCGAGCATTCCCTCTCCTCTTTGTTACTAATGTACAGTATCATACAGTATTATAATGTATTAACAGTAAACAAATACCTCAACAATATATCTATACAGATGAAATAGAAGGCTGTCCACCTAATAGCACTTGAAGCAACACTTTCTAATGGTAACTCGAGTACCGTAGCACCTGGAAACCTTTCATTATTATACAGAAGTCCGTTATCTTCTCTTATTACTGATTGCAGATTAATTTTCCGTGATATTTGATCATCGCCTGTATGATCCGTGATTATACTGCTTATATGAGACAAAGTATTATTCCGGAGATGATCAGGTAAAAGAGTCGATGAAAGCTTCTCGGAAGTCTTGTTCCGGTTGAATCGGAAAGATGTTGTTAACGTATTGCCAAGACCATTACTTGTAATCGTTTGTACATGAACATGATAGTCGTGATCCAGTTCAAGCTTATCAAATTGAACTGTGGTACTTTGTGGTGGCATAATCACTATTTGATTGTCCTTTGCACCGGATTTACTGAGTACAATTCGGTAGCCAACACTTTTTTCCGTACCATTAATATTCTTCCAGTTACATCGTACCGAATTATTTTTTGAATTAACGATGCAAGAGAGGGATTGAGAAGTTGGTTGATTGTCGCAGGTTAAAGTAATCGTTGATGGCGTTTTCTCGCAGCTTTGCGTCTCGAAATGAGCCTTTGCAATCATCTAAACAGAGAAATATCAGTCTAGTCTAGGCCGAAAAATATCAGCCTAGTCTAAGTGGAAAAGTCTATAAAACAGAAACATGACCGAAAAATTTTTATTTACAAATAAATTATAGTCCTTCTAATAATTTTTCAGAATCTTAATAATGTTAAATTTAATAACCTGTTTGTTACGACCACTAACAAGCTCCACATTATATGAGCATGCAAAATCAAGATCTTCCAAAACTGCGACACATTCTTGGACTTCCATCTGCGCCCAATCTTCGCCGGATGAATCCAAATCATAGTAAGTAATGCGTTTACTATCTTTTCCTCTGCACATCAACAAACGCCATCTGGAAAAATACCATTGTTAAAGTTCATATTGTCAGCTTATCTGTTTTCCTTAAAAATAACTAAAACATGAGTATCACTGAGAAACTTCTGAAATTTTCCGACACGTCTTTTAATTAAAAGTAACCTTTCTAAAGTTAACCTTATCATATATTTAATTCTTGTTCCGTTGCATAGACCATTCCTGAACCAACTCACTACAGTTTTCAAATTATCGTCGAAATACGGTGCCCTGACATCTAACATTTCCAATTTGGTATCAATCGTGATATCATCTTGCAGTCTATTTCGGGATTCTGATTCCCATTTCTGAATCGTTGTACTTGTGATATTACTACTACCATAAACACTACTACTGTTAGTACGCTCGTCTTTACTGACGTTCATTGTGTCTGTCCTCACGTAAAGTGTTGCTTTTTCTCCGTGTAATTCGCCATCCGACGAGTCTACTGTGGCGTAAATCTGCAATTTTTAATTTATATTCAGATAGATTTATTCATCTAATACATTAATGTGATTTATAAACAGATATCTGTCGTCAACAGGAAAATTGCAAAGGTTAGGTTGCATGCAATACACGCACGGGTATATGCGAGACGATGTGGTACCTAGTTAATAGCTGATCTAAAACGTCAATCGAATGGGACACCTGATATCTAATACAGAGGAGTTTTTCTAGTATGCTATTACATAACTAAATCGCAGAGTGAACCACTCTGCTAGAAAGTCTTAACTATTCATTATTTATCCTTCGAAAAACTCTTTAGAGCCATTAAGTGATACAGCAAGCAAATACCAACTTCAACTAAATAAACAGATTGAAGTTGTAATTGATGGATGTCAGCATACGAATGATATGCCGGTATTACAACTGACATCCGTTCACGTTCCATGAAACTGTCCTCATTATCAATCTCATCATCATCGTCATCTATCGTTGATCGCTTTTCCTGTTTTTCAACATTGTTCACTCGTCGTTTCAACATTTCCTCATATGCAATTGCTTGTTGTAATGTCGATTTTTGCCATGAAAGCTGTACAAAATCGATGCAAATTGTTTCATTTTAAAATTTTCAAAAGGAATTAAATCATCATAAGATATTACTTTGAAAATATTAATTAATCAAGTTATCATCATATCAAATCTGAAATTTGGAAAAAATTAAAGGATTTAAAATTAAAATTTTTGCGCCTTTACAAGATGTGTTTTCAATTCTGATTTGTTTACTGAAAACTATTAAACTTTCATGAATTCTTCACTTGTTTTGATTACTTACGATATAATTTTTGATCGGTAATTCGGAAATTGGAGGAGTCCATCTGATCCGTTGTTTCCAAAAATTGTGCTCATCAATTTCTGAGTTATCTAACGTCAAATCAAGTGGTTGTCCAGGTGCTTGAGGTTCTAAATTTGAAAAATTTTAGCATTTTTTAATTACAACTAAAATAAATGAATAAATTCAGAGATGAAAACTTCTCTCATACCCTTCGAAAGTTTGAATGGTTGACTGCTTTTTGAGAATCCCATACTACCGTATGTATTAACAGCTGCTACACGAAACATGTAATATCTGCCTGGTGCAAGTAAATGCTTCAAAATAGCATACATTTTGTTACGCTGAAATTATTTCAATCATTTGCATACACATATTGCAATTTTAAATTTTTACATTTGAAAGTAAAAAAATTATAAAAAAAGACTGAACATCTCATCGACTACTTGTAAAGCATAATCTTCTAATCTATTTTATTATTCGGTACTTATACTGGTTCTTATCTTTTGGTACGTTATTGGTGCCTAAAATTTCTAACATTATTGGTGCTTATCTTTTGGTACAACATTGGTACCTATTGTTACTTAATGGTTAAATTTCTAACATTATTGGTGCTTATCTTTTGGTACAACATTGGTACCTATTGTTACTTAATGGTTAAATTTCTAACATTATTGGTACTTCTATTGGTACTTATCTTTTGATACAATATTGGCACTTCTTATTAATTGATGGTAAAATTTTTAACATACAGTAACGATCGTTTGCCAATCGCTTATTGAAGTACCATCTTTATGTAAACTCCATCTCCACTGCACCACATACAAATTAGCATTTGAATTTGTCTGAGCACGACTCATCTGTTGCATGACCCATCTAACGATCACTGATCTGTTAAAATAAGCTATATTCCACTTATTTGCTCATTAATTTTCTTATTTGCTTATCAGTTTATCCGATCCATACTTTGATGGTTAATTAATTATATGAGTGATTTCATACTATTCTGATACGATATTTCAATCTGTACTATCTATACCTTTTTCGTTTTCGTTCCTGAACACTGATACTGGTTGGGATCGGCAAAAGATTCAAATCTCTTCCTCGTGGTTTCAGACATTGCCTACTACAACCTTCAACACAACATTTCTTCGCTTCAGGACAATCACCATCTAAGTGACACAATGCGGTACATTCCTGAAAATAACTTGCTTCCAGATAATTCATCCGTGTTCAGTTTTTACTTGACGGACATTCAGCATTATTTATTTACTTATTATTATTTCCTAGCACAATTTACTGGATAGTTTTTTTTTTTGACAATTTGATTTTAATTTGCTAATATGCATAGAAAAAACAAAAGAGACGGTAACTAGATTGGACATACATTGAAGGGAGCTAAATGTGAGTTATTGGGACAAATTCCAGGTTTATTCCGATATATCTCTTGTAAATAAATACAGGAATGTTTGCAAACTTCTGGTTCTCTCACATGCTGCAAAATATTACCATTTTAATTATAAATCTTTAAAATAGCTTAGACTATTTTAATGATAAAAGTTTTTTTAAATTAAAATAAATCTTTTTCATCACATAAATAATTCATTTTAACAAATAATTTTAACAATTACTCAAACTTTTCACCATAATGTAAATTAAATAATCGTAAAATTTTGAATGAACAACCCTCACTTTGCAAATATTTCTTTGACATCCATCCATATCCAATGTATGACATGCTGCGGTGCACTAAAATTATTTTAATAATGTTGAAACGAATTTGCATCGAATTTCTATCCCTTTAAAAGATGATATTTCACAGAAAAAAAAAATGGAAAATTCTTGAAATATGAATAAAAGAAGATTCGAGAAATTAGATTCGCTCTGTTAACAAACAATTTTCCATCACATTTTCTTTTTTTTAATTTATCCTTCCAATCAATCATTGTCACCATTCCCATGTATGTCAATGTTTTCCAACTACAAATGTCATATCGAATAATTCGCTCTTTTAAAATCCCAATTTCTTCTGTTTTTTTTTAAATCGTTTTCTAATATTAAAATACTGCAATAGTAAACTGTATAATAACGAAGAGAAATAATTGTTAAACCAATAACGACAAATATAAAATAATTATTGAACTAAATTTGAAGATTCCAGATGGATGTGTGTGTTTGGGTGTGTGTGCGTGAACGTGTGTGTGTATGTGGATGTGTGTGCGTGTGTACGTGTGTGTTCGGGTGTGTGTGGATGTGTAGCTGTTTTGTTTAATATAGGGTGTTAGATTTTAGGGAGAAATTATCTGAAGATATTGAGCAGTCTTTAGAAATAGCAATTTTGTTCAGACGTGAAAAATGCGTGATCATGTGATAAGAGACACTTGGAGCATTTATAATAAGTTGCAATAATGATCAACAAGAAATGAACCGAATATGGTGAATGAATGAATGAATGAATAGATCAATTCTGAAAAAAATTTTGTCAAAAGATTCCTTCTCATCTTTTTTTTCTACTCTTTTATATGACATCGTGTTAAGAAAGTGAACAAATTAATGAATTGAAAGTGTTAATTACAGTATTGCAATTATTTCAATCCTATTCTGCAATCATCAGCTTTGATATGACTTTCACGTGAATCCACGTGGAATTTGCTACGTGAAAACACGAAAATTTGCATGTGCTATTTTAAAAAAGTCCAACAATTTCATTTAGCATTTCACTTCATTGCAATCCTTTGAAATTACTTGTCCATCCCTATTCCATCCAAATGGAAGGATACTAGCGGATAAAGCTAGTTAATATAACTGAAGAGATAGCAATGGTCACAAGAAAATAGTATTGAATACTATCATCATTTGAAAATTGATTCATAATTGCTTATCAATCATAAGTGATCAAAAAGATAAGAACAAGAATCAGATGGTTAAACTATTCCTTGTTTACAAATTCTGTTTATATGAAAATGCAAACATTTCAGGTATTATTTTTGGGTTTTCATTTATGAAAAAGAAATGATTTTTTGATATTTAGAAGCAATAATTTTTGTAGAAGTACTTAATAGTTCATCAATTTGCCACTTATGAAATTTATAGGTAATTTAAAATAAGTTTAGTGTAGAAAAAAGTCAGCATGAACTTTGATCTGTATTTACAAAAGTCAGCATGAACTTTGATCTGTATTTACATTATTTACTAACTACAACGACAATTACAAGTAATTCCTTCGATAAGTGACATTTTCCGCATCCCTAATGACAAAGTTGAGATTGCATGAGAGAGATGGTGTACTTCAAAAGTATGGATCATAAAATGAAAAGGAATCATCAAAGAAATGGTATGCAAGAGAATCTATAATTGCATTTATGCTAAAAAGGAAGTAATTCAAGCAGTTACAAGAGTGAGAGTAAGAGAGGGAGAGGGAGAGAGAGAGAGAGAGAAGGAGAAAGAGAAAGGGATAAAGAGGTAAATCTGAAGTATATGGAAGATAAAGAGAGATTATTGTGGAAATGATACAAGCAAACCATAATCTTCTTTAACAATCTGATAATAAAATCTTTTCATCTATGCCGCCAATCAAGCACAAATTCATCGTTGAAAAGGAATTTCGATTCATTCCCATTTAAGTTATTTATTTAAATTTAGTCATACAAAAGAAGGGAAGAAAAACCGGAAGAAGTATAGAAAACGAGAAAAGGAAGTGATAAATGTAAATGGATATGGTTATGATTGGATCACGACAATGATAGTGTTGAAGAAAGATTACCGATAGTGGCTATTTTATGGATAGCAAGCGGAATACATCAAAACTTCATTGCTTCTTTTTTTTTAGCATTCATCCTAACACTGGATGTTAACTTTTTTTCTTTTTTTTTTACATCGATTCTACACTGCTTCACTGTTCCATTTGAATAATAGAGAAAAGAAATATGCAAATTTTTCCTCTTTACTTTTTTTAAAATGAATAAAAGCTATGAATGATAAAAAGGAAAAAAAAACGACTGTAAAATGATTGTTTCTTTTTAATTTAATGATTACCATATTAATATGAAAGGTTACGAAGTAAGTAAAAAGGCATTTGTAGTTTTTGGAATTAAAATTGTACGATCACTCCAGTATGTTCTTAATTAATAATTACATTATCGATCTTTTCGATTATCATCTTATCAGCTTAATTGCTCAAAAAACCTGTTTTTTTTTTTTGGATATATATTAAATATTCGATGTATTTATTGATTTTTCCCATGATAAATGAATATATCACTGTATTTATGGTGACAAGATATTCAACACCTGTCATTTTCTGCAGACTATATGGACTATATGGCTCAAATTCGATATCAATTAAATACTTTTCTCTCTTGTTTTTTTTTTTTAAAATTTGCTTATTTGCTTTTATAAGTCTCTTTTTTTTTGCCTTGCATGTCAAAGATATTCGACCTTCATTTATTTCCTGCGATAATGTTGAACGACAATTTCTAATCCCTCTTCAATTTTTATGTCTTATCCTGAGATGATCTTTGGTATGCATTCCATCACGATAAATGATGAGGAAGAGAGGAAATGCTTAGACTGTTGGAAAAATAACCCAAACAATAGGATTAGGCCAACAAAGCCAAAGAAATTATTTCAAATGCTAGCAAAAAAATGTTTCATTTATTGTTCCATTGGAACGATATGCCAGCAGCTGTAGGCGCTTTTTCTGATTTCAGCGGCAAAATTATCATAATTAAAATCGAATTGAAATTTTTATTACAAAAGAGAAAGAAAAAGAAAGGATAGAAATTTTATTCAAAAATATTAAAAATTCAATTCTTCCTGTTCATCTATTTCTTTTGTAATTAGGGGCTTATTGATAAGAAAAATTACATAATATAGGATTAAAATTGCTAAAGATATGAATTAATTTCATTAGCTGGTGTTGTAGGAATCTTTATCTCAGTAGAATAACATATTAAATGTTAGCTATATTAATTATCAAATTAAATCGAAAATATGTCATTCCCTTCGTTGAACTGCAATAATTCGTTCATATTTGCATCAGATTTGATATTTCATTCACCTTTCCCACTATCCTTTCATTTCATATATTAAGAAAAAAAAAGTTCGAATGTTAATAAATCACTTTTCCCTTGAGCGGTTACAAATGGCGCAATAATAAATGAACAAATTGGTCGGTTCATATGTTTGAAAAGGATGAAAACAAAGGTGGACGCTCATCTGATGACCATCACAAAAACAATATTTTAGAAAGATTGAACAACATGAAAAAAGATGAAAGGAATGAGCCGCTACATTACCTATCAGTTAGTTAGGATTTTACATTTCATCGTGTCTATCAAAAAGACCGAAAAATAATGAAGTACTTTCTTTCAGATTTCAAAGGTATATTATGAAGGAATGTTTTAAGCACAAGTGATCAATATGTATTCCAACAATGAATAAATATTGCAAATTATGATTTAATTAACGGTTATTTAATTAGCAAGGAACTCTAGCAATATAAAATAGCCAAGGTAAATAATGAAGAAACAATCTGAATGATTGAATTTGCAGAAGAAAAACATAAAACCTTCCAAGAATTATATCGGGATATCGCCATTAACTTTTAACACTAAAATTTTCCTCATTGATAACAAAGAAGATAAAACTGAGCAATGATTTTTGTAAATTAACAAATTAACAATCTGTATTAAATTCGATATGATTTCATTCTTTGTTTAATTCTTAAAAACTACATTTTGATGATTATATTTATGCCATTTTTAGGATATTGTAATTGATTTTTAGCTAAAATTTTTCCTATTGATAATTAAAAAGATAAAATTGACTTTTGGTCTTTGGCTAACAATCCCCTTCCCTCCTCCCCCTCAAGCTGATAAGTTATTGAGCTCGACAAGATTTTTTTCTGATCCCTGAAAACTATTAAAATAAAAGCTTCCTTCTCATTGTTAACGAACGAAGCATTAAGAATAGAAAGGCTGGGAACATTCGCACATTTTTAGTTTTATTAATTTCTGGCTTGCTAAAGGCTCACAAGCAAACATTGATAAGAGGATTAAACATATACTCCATCAGTGTTCTCCTCGACCTCACTAAATAGTACTACCCTGACCTATGTCCCCAACATATCCTTCCTGTTTGTTCTTCGTCTTCTGGAAACAACTATTTGAATATGGTAAAACTGAGACTTCTTTACCTTCTACACTATCTGCTAAAGCTGATCGAAGTTTGACACTCTAAACATCAATCATATCAGATGATATTAATTCTAAGCGGGGAATAATTGAATCAATCAATATATTGCCATTATCAGTTACCATTATTATCACTGTATCATAAATAAAATAAAAAATAATCGATATATCTTGCATATCATTTATCCATTAAAAGAAATCGATATTTTTGTTTGGCTATTTAACGTGTCCACTTTTGTCCGCCCAATCTTTTTCATCTCATCGTTGCCTACAATTATGAGGCTTTTGAGTGTAGCAATATAGTATTATATTGATGCTAACTAATATTTTCATTCCTGTTTGAAAGAGGTCATCCATTGATAATTCATTAACAATGGAGTGAAAAAGTATTTTCAGATGCATCATCTCATCTCTCTTATAAGTGGCCAGATAACAGACCAGATCATTTTTAATATTTTGGCTTAGATTATTCACTTCACAGCTGGACATTCTCACGCTAACACATCCACAATACAATCAATCAATAACCCATCTTTCTACTTTATAATCATATTTATATATAAATATTTTATATGTTACTTATATATAAATAATAGACACACACACACACACACACACACATACATACATACACACACATACACACACATACACACACATACCACACACATACAAATATCTATAGCAGCTACTTTTGTCTTTTCCTAAATTTGAAGGTGCCTCGTCCAGTGGTGTAACGATTAGTACGATATCCGTTTTCAAACTCCCTTTCCGGATTAAATCCTAATTCTCCATTATATGTTACAACTTAAACTATCATCATGACTAACTGATAAGGTATATACTTGATAGATATGTTCATGAATCATTGTTATACTTAGAAGTCATTACGATTGCAATGATATGATTAGTTATCAATATAAATTTATTATTTTAGAAAGGGAAAAAAAATTAAAATCATTGAAAAGAATTAGCATACTAACCTATTAGACATTTCTGACTCTTTCTATTGTATTCAAGAAAATGACCACTTCCTTTTTAACTTGAAATGCTATTTTAAAATTTAATTGAAATCTTAAACTAAAATTTATCGAAATTTAGTCGAAAAATTAAAAAAAAAGAAGTGAAAAAATGAAAGAAAACTGATAGATAAGTGGCTGTGTTTGAGAATTTGCTGCACATGCAGTTTATTTGCACTTATTGCTGCACATGCAGTTTATTTGCACTTATTGCTGCACATGCAGTTTATTTGCACTTATTGCTGCACATGCAGTTTATTTGCACTTATTGCTGCACTTGCAGTTTATTTGCATTTTATACTTCAAAATTTGGATATAGAATGCGTAGAAGTAAACGATAAAAGAAATGAAAAATAATTAAAATGAATTTACAATAAAAGAAATCATACCGAAGAGCAATTTCGATCTTCTTTGCAAATATTAATGATGTGATG